AGTGATCAATGACATAATAGTCTAGAAATTTTAGGATACTGCATTAGGACTCTGATCTGACTTAACAGTTTGGTATCATCATTATTCTGATTTTGGACTTCGTCCAGTGCAGAAAATAGAAATAATTTCTCCACTCCAGCAGCTAGAAATCTATACAACAAACTTAATGATTTATCAGTATCAGGAAAAGCCTCAGTAAATTTGATTGTATAAATAAAGATTTGTTTTCTTGGTTTTTCTTTGCTGCTCATGTTTAAGATTATATTCTCTACCGTATCTGGAACATGATACATTGAATATTCTTGATACTTTTCTATTGGATGTCAGTGTAACTAAATTTTACAGTTACTCTGAATCAATTTTGTTTGTTAATGTACAACCAGTTAATGAATCAAAGAAGTACAGTTGACAAGTTCAGAGTGAATAAATCTATGTCCATGTAAACTAATGTAGTCATACAGTAGTTAGTAAAGAAAACAAAACAACTTATTTTTACTTACTCCAAAAGTTATATTTATTCATGAAAGATAATTTTCCTAGCATTTTAAGGTCCAGTAAGACTGTATGCTGACCATGGAAAGTTTAGTATACTGATTAAAAGAAAATCCAAGTGGCCATATATTTGTTTCACACTTTTGTAAAATGAGGAGTACATATACATTCTTCAAGGACAATTATAAGTTCACTACATTCTTATCTACTTTTATAAAGTCATTCCTTACCCAAGTAGTAAATTGAAAACTTTTTTTCCCCACCAAATGGCCATTTTTCTTTGTAAAGGACATTCAGTGCTTGATGATAGTAATGATTGAAACCCTGTTACATGTTTGGTTATCCTGTCTTGTTTTACATATAGTGTTTACCCAGTTTAGGAGCCTAGTTCATATTGAAAACAGCAAAAGAAAGAAGATAAATTTTTCTTTATTCTTGAGCCGTGGTTACATCTAGTTAGTACAAATTAAGTAGAGGCAATTATTTATTCCATGTTTAATTTCTAGGACTATAGATGACAACTGAATTGTTGTTAATTGTTTGTTTCAATTATATGACCGATTCACCTGATCTGTTTTTTTCAGTTATCCAATTCCGAAGAAATACCTTTATTGCTAAAAGCAGGTTGTGTGCTGATTCTGAATGTATCTGTGATATTGTATTGTACTTTTATTGTTAAGCTAAGTATATATTCAGTGATTAATATACAACATAACCTATCTTTCTACGTGAATTACCGAGCTCAGTATATTAACAAATACTTAAATTTTTTCTGCTGATCTTATGATGTCTCCAATATTTCTTGATTTAGTTTTAAGAGAAAATTAATAAAACAAGATATTTTATCTGGTCTGTTAGTTTTTACCAGTTCTGAGCAAAAAAGTACTGAAATATGTTTTTATCTATAATAATGTTCTTTACTGCAGTAATCAAATGTCTTGTTTTTTATACCTTTCTTTGACCAAATTCTTTGAAGATATATGAACATCAAAATGTTTTATTTAACCAACTAAAGTTCTGATTTATTGTATTTATTCTGTGTATAAGTTAACATAAAATAGGGAATTACTTTATGGTTTTTCTTAAATATGATTTTGTTAAGTATTTATTTGATTTACAATAAGTACTTCCCCAGATATAGTGTAGATATCAGTTGTACATTTCTTATGAATGTTTTATAATTTCAGTTTTTACTCGAGTTCACTGATATTTTTGAGAAAAAGAGCATTTTATTTGCCTGATTATTTCAGGATAGTGGTATACATAGTTGTGTTTGGAGCTGCATTTCTTCCATTCTTTGAGCTTTGGACACATGAGCAGGAACGGTGTAATCACAGCAAAGGGAAAACTCCTTCCCACAGAATTGGAGTGTGCATTTTGAGTCACATTTGTTCTGCTTCACCAGAAATTATACGTGAAGAAGTTGAGATATTAAAGAGTGATTTCAACTCTCGTCTGAAGAAAGCCCTGTTTCATTCCTTTCTTGTAGCATATTATGCTGGTTTTGTTCCTTGCTGCTTTGTTCAGGTAAGTAACCTCATCATTAAATGCAATAAACATTAAAATTATGCAAAATGAGGCTGTGAAAGAAACCAATGTGATAAACTCAGTTGAATGTCATATGTGGTGTTTAAACAACAGTTGCATTTGTTTTGTTATAAACACACTGAAATGTTTATTTAACATCCTTTAAATTTCTGAAGTAATGGCTAAAATACATGAAAATATCTTTTCCTTTGAAGCATGATATCAAATCTTCTAATGAAAGTAATATAATTTGCAGCTATCTGAGCCTGAGTTTGGAATTCTTAAGTTAATCAACTTTTCATATGAACTTTAATTCTCAATACTTTACAAGTTGAGGTTGACAGATAACTTGAATGTAAAGGAATGACTAACATTAACCAGAAGTTTTGTTTTTGATTTTCTAAGGGTTGATACACTGCAGGAATTATTCACATAATAAAAAATGACATATTTCTCATTGATATCAAGTTAAATGAGAATAAACGAGTAATTTTAACTGATAAGCTGTTTGATTTTCTAAGATACATTTGAATTTTGTTTGTATACATTATTATCTACTGTCAACTATATAATTTATATAGAATTGCATTTGTTATTTCTAATACAACAGATATAAATTTCTGAAGTACAGTTGTAAATCACTTATTATGTTTACCAAGTTTTTTATTATGATATAATGGAAATTAAGTAGAGCTTGCCCAATAACACTATGTGCTTAGGTGGGGTCAAACTTCACATATTTACAAGCTATATTATAAGATAAGAACCACCCACCTTTTTGATATGCTGAGATATCAATATATTTAGCAAACCTACCAGAGCAGCTCCTCCCATCTCTTCATTTTTTTTGAAGCCACTTACTTGTGCCCACCTGTCTTAAGTACATGTTTATAACCAATAGAAAGAGTAGATTTTGAACCACATGAATCTTATGGTTATTTGCCAATTTTATAGAAAGTAAAGCCAAATTTGCTAAAAAATGTTGAAATATGCTTACTCAAATTGTTGCTCTGAAAATAAATTTTTTAACCTGTTTATACTTTATTTAGAAAGCCAGATAAATTGTAGTAGTTTATGATATCCTATTCTAGTGAGTGATAATTCTTTTCTTTTCTAAAACACGTATATAAAATTTACAAAAATCAATTTGTCTGCCTCAATTTGAGAGAATTAATAAGGCTTAGTGTGAAGGTTAGCAACCACGTTTCATGTTTCATGAGTGCAAGTGGATTTTGTAACATCATAAGTACAAGAAATCATGGATTTTATGTATATTTTTTATTTAGTTTTACACATTTCAAGAAAAATAACTAAAATTTAAGCATTTATGAGTAAGTGCTAACAATATATGTATATACATATATATATACTTATGTATTATATGGTAATAGAAATGCCATTGCATTTGACAAAAATACTGGTATGCTAATTGTAAGTTTGTTTACTGAACACGTGTTATTCTACTCAACTGCATCTCATGATCTTTCCTACAACTTTATTATCAATAAACTCAGCATCAAAACATAGTTTGTTATTAAAATTTTAATATTATATAAGTTTTAATTTCTTAATTTCAAAAGGAAATATTTTCAGATCTCAATCTTCACATCTGTCTCATATGATGCATCTGCACATCAAATTGCTATTTTTTCCTTCAACCTTGATTGTTTGAGTTTGGTAAAAATTACTCATAGATGTTGTTAAGATAATGTAAATTTCTCTACAAGCTTATTGCTTTACTGAGTTATAACCAAAAAGTTTGCATGTTATGGTTTGCTGGAAATAGCTTAATGGGTCATGCTGAGATGTATTGTCCAGAGGGATTACTGCTCCATACAGCAAAATAAAAACAAAACCTGTTTAATAAAATAATAAAGGTTTAATCTGTGAATTTACGTATTTTGTAACTTTAAAGTCAGTACTGAAAAAGGAAGAATTGTGTTATTCAATTTATTTCATTTTTTTTCAACCATTTTGTGCTGCCCTCTGTACATACCATTTTTTTGCTTGCAACTAGCCTTGATGCTCCCACCTAAACTCCCATGTTCCCACTTGCTATTTCTGCACTGTAGCATGCAAATAAGATGTGCTAACCCTTCACCAATAGGACTGCTACACACCCTCCTAGTGCAGCTGATTCCCTCTGTACTGATTGTTCAGTCATCACTTCTCGATTTGGAACTTGCTTGTTTAGATGTTTGTTTTTTGCTCGTGTAAGTGGTTACAGTTTTTTGCAACATTTTTTTATTGACCATGACTAGTTTGTGGAAGGATTATCTGTATTACTTTTTCTTCCTTTTATCATACTGAACTCACTAGTTCATATTATTTCTGTTTTGTCTAGCATTGATCCACAGGAACTTATTCCAGCTAGACAAACAATAACTATATCATTGGGCTCCTCTTTGTTTGTCAAGAGATGGAGTCCTATGTACGGCCTGATCCTTCTTCTGACTTGGGGACAGATATTCCGTTACCTGTGGAACCGATTCATGAGGATAACGATTTTGATAGCCTTTGTCTTCCACCTGCTCTACTGCATTTTCTCAGTCCACTGCCATTGATCTTCCTTGACCTTCCTCTTCATTCTTGGATATAGTTTCTAAGATTTGATACTTTTTTCTTCTGTGTCTTATGATTCTTCCCCTTTCATTCTGCATTAAGGCCCTACTACTGATAATTTTGTTTTCTCTCCTTTTTTGATATTCAGATCCATGCTGATCAATTTGTATCTCACCTCCTCACTTGGAATCTGCATATGCCTTGGCTTATCATAAGGCTGAATTTCCCTTTCTGGACTCCAAGAATTTGGACTTGCCTATTCAAGCTTGGGGTCAGATCCTTTATCTTCTCTTTACCTTCCCCTAGCTCAGTTCTCCCATCATTGTCTCATGCTTACTACTCTTTTGTGCTATCTCTCTTCTATGCACCTTTTTTCCGAGGTTATCAACTATTCACCCGAGGAATTTTTGGTGAATACTTTTCTCTTGTCTTTTCTACATTGGCACATTTATCTTCTAGTTGCTTTGTTTTTGGGACTTATTAGGCAAGGATTCCCTACTTTCTCAGGTGTGTTTACCTTCCTTTTATCTCCAAGACCTTCATCCAGCCTCTTTCTTCTGCCAATCTGTTTTTAGGGGAATCCCAGATTTTCTGGAATCTCGTGTGGAAGTTGCATGGCAACAATCTTTCATTTCTTTTCTGGTTTTCCATCTTGTGCCAGCCTCTCCTTCATTCATATCTGTATCCCATCCTCCAACTTCCTCTTCTCTTCCCATTCCCCCTTTCCATTTTTATGCTCCATTCAGTTATTACTCTAACTGTCGACTTCAGTGCTATCAGTATTGATAGTGTCTACCCATTAGGTTCAGGCATGGTTGGCTTGGTTTGTAGTCCTTTGATGCCCAATTGCAGCTGATTGTGAGGTCTTTCGGGTGTTATCAGAGGGCCTGACTCTTTGTTTTTCTTCTCCTCCTCCTTTGTTGCATCTCACACCCACTCAGTATCACATTCATTTGGGTGTATTTTTCAATTCAGATCTCAGCAGGGCCCAGCCTTATCCTCTTCATTTGAGGGGCATAGAGCAATTAGTTTCCAACACCATATCCATTCTTTCTCTCACTGTGCAGGAAGTTTTCTCTCTTTTGAGTACTTAGGCGTCATGGAATCCCTTATCTCTTTGGGTCGTGCTCATATGAGTCATCTTCACAATCAGTGGAACCTTGCTCAGAACCCCTTGTCCTCTACCATTCACCTTTCTCCTTCCTTGCTTGTTGACTTCTCCTGGTGGTTCAACAAATCCAATACCACAGAGGGTGTTCCTCTTGCTTCTCATCTGGATCTCCATCTATTTACAGATGTATACTTGATGGGGTGGGGGTCATATTTAGACTCTCAAGTGATTTTGGGTTAGTGGTCCCATGACAAATCATCCTTTTATATCAGTCTCTTAGAACTTTTGGTGATACATTGAGCTTTGGATCATTTTCTTATGATAGTTTATGGATATCTAGTGATGTTCCATACAGACAACTCTACACTTGACTCTTATATCAGTTGCCTAGAGGGCTCTCAGTCTCACTCTCTTTGTTTCCACATTATCAACCTCCTTTTCTGGGCCCATTCTTTACAAGTATGTCTTACTGCTTGTCATATTCTGGGTATCCTAAATCTTGATGTGGATCATCTCTTGAGGCCTTACAGGAGTGGTCCCTTGATCCTCTGGTGTTCAAGTGGCTGATCACTTCTTTTCTACATGATTTTGCCACTCAACTCAACACCAAACTACCCCATTTCTGGTCCTCTTTTCCTCATCTATCAGATCTATCTATGGATGCATTCAGTCAGGACTGGTCCAACCTTTTTCTCTATGCCTACCTACTATTCATTTTTTCCCTCATGTGTTTTCCTTTATTCAGGACACTCCATGTTGAGTCCTCCTGATAGCTCCATTCTAGCTGGCTCATTCATGGTTTTCTCCATTGAACCTTCTCCAGTCCTCTCCTTGTCTTTCTCTACCTCTGTCATGCTTCCTACTCTTTCAACCTCCCTCTCCCATTCAGTGGTGTCATCACTCCACTTTAATGCATGGTTTTGTCCAGTCCCTTGCAAGACATTCCATACTCTTATCACATGTAAGCTTCCTTCTTTCTTGTTCAATTTGTTCTTCTTCCCACCTTATCAATCAACTAAAATGGCACATATTCCATAGTTGGTCTCTGTGTTGTGCTTTCTCCCTTTCCCATCTTTCTGAAGTTTTCACATGGTTGTTTGACCAATGCTTATTGCGTTCCACCATTGCTGGCTACAAGGCAACGATGTCTAATACTTTCAGGTTTTTCCATTATTGTTATGTCTTCTCCTCTCCTGTCCTTCCTATGCTCTTTCATTTTTTTCATCTTCTTTGACCTTCCTGTTTGGTTGTTCTACATGACCTTACCCTTCATCTCTTTGAACCTTTTAGCTCTTGTTCCTTGTACCATCTTTCTCTTAAAACCTAT